GTTATGACCCAGGGATTATAAATCCAGATTATAAACCCAGGGATTATAATAATCCAGGGATTATGGCCCAGGGATTATAAATCCAGGGATTCCCAATTCTGCTGGTTGTTATTATTTTAATCATTCCTGCCCTCTTGATTTGATCTTTGCCAAATGAATTCAGACCTGTTGTACTTACTCTGTGAGTAAGTAAGCAATCAAAATCCAAGCTGTAAAAGATACCAAACATTCTCCGCAAAGATCCATGCAACGGGTTGGAAAAATTCATGTTTCTGGATTTGTCTCATGTATTCTCATATATTTTGAGTTCTGGTTTGTCACCGATAACGGTCGGCAGCAAGGTTTGCTGCTCAGGGTGTACAAGAAAACTACCACAGATTCATGTGCTCAGCGATGGAAGAACCATGACATTCCCATAGTGGAGGAATGGATGGTGAAAATGTCAGAATTTGCTGAGCTGGCAAAACTGACCTGTCTGGTCAGAGAAAAAACAACAAAAGCTTTTTTAAAAGACTGGAAACCTTATATGGACTTTTGCTGAAAGAAGAAAAAAATGAAATGGTGATTTATGGGTTTGAAGATTAAAATAGATGTGGATTAAGTGAGGGGCTGAACGGATTTGTATAACCTCTAAGAAGGAGGAGGAAATATAGTATAAGATTGTAATTATCTGTGGAAGAGAAGGTCAGAAGCCATTATATTTCCTAACTGTAGTTTCTTATCTTGTTTCTTTTCCTGCACTTTTTTCCTTTTCTTTCTTTTTCTTTAGATTTGTCTTTTACTTTATGTGAAATTCTTAGTAAATATAATTAAAGGAAGAAAACTACCACAGACTCAGTGAGAGAAACACATTTCATCGCACCACGGCCAGGCAAAAATGAGCAAGCGGTTGTGTCGTTCAGCCCTCCGAAATTCAAACCTGAAAAGCATATCTTTCCTGTTTGAATTTCAGAGTGCTGAAAATCAAGCCAAGATCTCTCTCTTTTGGAGAGTTGCATTTGAAAAAGTGGGTGCTCAAGAAAGGGATCTGCAAAATATTCTATCCGGGAGCATTTTTCATTTAGAAAAATTTGATAGAACTAAATAATGCATGCAAAATCACCCTCTGGGGGAGATGGGCGGCATAGACATTTAATACAAATAAATAAATAAATAAATAAATAAATAAATAAATTAAATTAAATTAAATTAAATTAAATTAAATTAAATTAAAATAAAATAAAATAAAAT